CGATGACCCAGTGACCCTGGGCCAGGCCCCCCTCTGCACCCCGAGCCACTGGCCCTGACCATGTGGCCCCCCCCTCCAGCGGAGCGGGCGCGGGCCGAGGCGGCCGAGCGGGAGGCCCAGCTGAGCCAGGAGATGCAGGCCAAGACGGAGCAGCTGCTGCAGGACCAGGAGCGCAGCCACGAGGAGCACGTCCGGCAGCTGACAGCCAAGATGGAGGAGGACAGGAGGCAGCTGCTGGCCGAGCAGGAGAGAGCGCTGGCCCTGAAACTGCAGGTACCTGCCCCGGGCCCCTGGGGAGCTGGGACTGGGACTGAGTTGCCTCGGGTGGGGAGAGGTGGGAGCCAGGACTCTTGGGTTCTAGCCTGGATCTGGGAGGGGAGTGGTGTCTAGTGGGTTAAAGTGAGGGTGGATTCTATCCCAGCTGCCCCCTTCCCCACAGCCCCGTGTCAGTGGTGCTAACCCTCAGCTGGCTCCATCCCGCAGGACCAGGCGCAGCAGCTGTGCGCGAGTTTCCAGAGGGAGGCGGCGCAGATGCAGCAGCAGTTGCAGCAGCAGATGCAGCAAATGCAGGAGATGCAGAAGAAGAGAAAACGGCGCAAGCGGCGCAGGTGGTACCGTTTCGGGTTCTGATGGGGGTGAGAGGAAACTTTAACCGTGATTCCAGGGGCTACGCAGGCACCTGAAAACTCTCAGGTTGTTTTGCAGAGAATAACTTAGAAATTAGCTGACAGGAGCTCTGTGTTTAATTGCTATATAAAGAAATCAAGTGAAATAAACAGCGTCACTCAGCTCTAATCCTAACATGCTCTGACATCGTGGGGCACGTCACTGAAGGGGCACTGCAGTTAGGTTAATGTCTAGTCTTACTTTGTTACTAACTCTCGAATACAACAATTGAAACTATGGTAGAAAAATCTCGATGACTTTCTTTTGTTTGGGCTATTTACTTTCTGCAGTTCACCAAGCTTGGAGCTAGGGTGAGCAGACAGCAAATGTGAAAAATCGGGACAGGGAGTGGGAGGGTAATAGGAGCCTATATAAGAAATCGGGACTGTCCCTATAAAATTGGGACATCTGATTACCCTACTTGGAGCAGGGGTAGAGGCTATAAAAGGCCCTGAAAACCCCTCCATCTTGTTTTCAATCCTGCTTCTGGTCTCTGGAGGAACCTTGCTACAAACGGAAACTCTGAACAAAGGACTGAAGGGCCCATCCCAGCTGGGGTTGTTCCAGAGACTTGATTTGAACCTGCAGTTTATTCCATCGCTGCTACAAGCCTGAACCAAGAACTTGGCCATTACTGGATGTAATTGATCCATTTAATCAGTTTTAGCTCTCATCTGTATTTCTTTCTTTTATGAATAAACCTTTAGATTTTAGATTCTAAAGGATTGGTGACAGCGTGATTTGTGGGTAAGATCTGATTTGTATACTGACCTTGGCCTGGGGCTTGGTCCTTTGGGATCGGGAGAACCTTTTTTCTTTTACTGGGGTATTGGTTTTCATAACCATTTGTCCCCATAACAAGTGGCACTGGTGGTGATACTGGGAAACTGGAGTGTCTGAGGGAATTGCTTGTGTGACTTGTGGTTAGCCAGTGGGTGAGACCAAAGTCCTCTCTGGCTGGCTGGTTTGGTGCCTTAGAGGTGGAGAAACCCCAGCCTGGGGCTGTAACTGCCCTGTTCTGAGCAGTTTGTCCTGAATTGACACTCTCCGTTGTGTCCCGCCAGAGGCCACATCGTTACACTTGGTTTTGCTCCCATCTATCAGAATCCTCCTTCCCCACCCCCCAGCATGCGGCAGAGAAAAAGGCTGGTGCAGTGGATGGGGTGCTAGCCCTGAGAGACGTGGGTTCTACTCTCTCCCCCAGCCCCATGGATTTTCTGACCGACCTTAGGGACAGGGTTTCAATGGTCTTTAGGCACCCAAAGATGCAGCCAGGTATCCAGTGGGGTTTACAAAGCACCAAACCTTCTAGGCACTTTTGAAAATCCCCCTAGGCCTAAATACCTTTGAAAATCTGGCCCTTAGTCTGTGAGTGCCTCAGTGCTCCATTTGTACAATGGGGATAAGAGCCCTGCTCTGCCTCACCGAGGGGTGTGAGGAGACCTAGGCTAGAGGTTGTGAGGTGCTCAGATACTGTGGTGATGGGGCCACTAGCCCTTCCCTTGGTTTTCACCCCTTCTTTTCACCCCTCCCTCTTTTCTGAATGTAACCATGGCTGGGTATCTTCTGTGTTCTGTTGTCAATGCCCCCAACCCCCCTGCACACAGAGAGATTCCTGTTTTACAGGCTCATCTAAGGACTTTCAGATCCTTAATTTCATACCCAGCCCTTTCTTCTCTGAATCACCCTGCCCCCGTTTGTAAACAAAACCCTGGGACCCAAGTTGGGAGCGGCACCTCTCTGAGCTCACGCTCCAGTAGAACCCTGCAAATCTGTGGGTATCCGCTTTCTATCTGGGGACCATTTTTCTGGATAGCAGCGTGGCTACGGATACAAATTTTGTATCTGTGCAGGGCTCTCACAGTAAGAGTCGGGCGGGCAGCTGTGAGGAACCGTGGTGCAGACCCTCCACCTGCCCTGGCTGGGGCCTGCTCGGGGCCCCCGCCCAGGGCAGGTGGAGAGACCCAGACTCCCAGCTGCCTGCGTGGCTGGGGTGTGGCTCCGAGCTCCCCCCACATCCCCCACTGGAGCGCCACGCGGGCAGCTGTGGGGAGCCTGGGTCCCTCCACCTGCCCTGGGCAGAGGGCCTGAGCAACCCCTGAACAGCTCCTCCAGTGTGGAGCCGTGGGAAGCCGGGGTGGACCCTCCGCCTGCCCGCGGTGCAGGGTGGGGAGGGGCAGAGAGCAGCCCCTGGCTGTATCCCCGCCCCCCAGGCTCCCCACCTGGCCGAGGGCAGCTGGAGGGTCCGTGACTCTTCCGGGGCTCCCCACAGCTGCCCGCGCGGCTCTCCCTGACGGGGCTCTGGCTTCAGCCTGGCCATGGTAAGTAGAGTAAGCCACGGGAGCGGCTAGCCACAGACAAATTTTGCGGATCGGCTGTGGATACACATTTTTGTACCCACCCAGGGCTGTACAGTTAAGAGCTCCACCTGGGGCTAGGACATGTACTGAAACTTGGGGGGAGGGGGGGAAAGACCCCCTTTCCTCCCCTAAATGGCATCCCTGGCCCATGGAGCTGGAGTAGTTCCCAGCGCTCCCAGAATGCACTGCTCCCACATGACCTAGGGAGGGGACAGTTCCCAGCAGGCATTGCTTCTGTGGGGCTCATGAAGGCAACTGCTCCCAGCATGCACCACTGCAGAGCGGCCCATGGAGGTGGCAGCTCCCAGCATGCTGTGCTGCCGCCTGGCCCAGCAGAAATGACAGAGTCGTCTTAGCCCCAAGGCCAGGACCGTTTTCCCCGGGTTGGGGCGCTGACCTCAGTTCTCCACTAAACCCCCACTGGGGGACTCAGTTCAGCTCAGCCTCTCACTCCCTTTGCACAGTCAGCGGGTAAGACATTGCCCTTAACTTCCTGTCCCAAAGTGCTACTGGTCATGGTGGTAAGTTGCTGCCTTGTCCCATCGCAGAGGGGCCGCGTCCTGCGCCGGGGTCCCCATATAACCCCCCCGGTCCCCTTATAACCAGCCCCCCCACCCCAGAGGGGCTGCGAGGGGTCCCCATATAACCACCCCTGACCCGGTCCCCCTATACCCAGCCCCTGCCCCATCCCAGAGGGGCCACGTCCCTGGGCCAGGTGAGGGGTCCCTATATACCCAGCCCCTGCCCCACCCCAGAGGGGCTGCGTCCTGCGCTGGGAGAGGGGGTGTCTGCAGGGGGGCTGCCAGTCTAGCGTTTGTTCAGCAGCAGGGGCGGGGGAATCGTTTCTCGTTCTCATTTAGTTCCTGACGGTGGCAGCAGCGACATGAACAATAACAGAGCAGTGCTGAACACAGAGCTTCAAACTCCCCTCCCAGAGCCAGGGAGAGAACCCAGGAGTCCTGGAACCCACCCCTGTCCCTGAGCCAGGGAAAGAACCCAGGAGTCCTGGCTCCCCGCTTCCCCGCTTTGGGTCACGGATTTAACGCTAAGTATCAGGGGGTAGCCGTGTTAGTCTGTATCCACGAGAACACCGAGGAGTCCGGTGGCCCCTTAAGGACGAGCAGGTTGATTTGGGCAGCCGCTTGCTGACGAAGGGGCTTTTCGCCCAGCTCAATGTGTTAGTCTTTGGTGCCACCGGACTCCTCACTGCCGGGTGGGGGGAAGTGTTGGCAGCCGCGAAAGTGAAAGTGAAAGTGAAAGTCCCGCTTCCCACAGCCCGGGGACGCTTCACAGCTTGCGGTACCCCAGCTCCGCTCCACCCTGAGGTCCTCGCACGGCCCCAGCCAGGTTTGAGCCAGGACGCCTGGGTTCTCTCCCCGGCTCTGGGAGGGGAATGGGGGCTAGTGGTTAGAGCAGGGGGGGCTGGGAGCCAGGACTCCTGGGTTCTCTCCCCGTCTCTGGGAGGGGAGCAGGGGGCTGGTGGTTAGAGCGTGGGGGTAGGCTGGGAGCCAAGACTCCTGGGTTCTCTCCCCGGCTCTGGGAGGGGAGTGGGGTCTAGTGGGTTAGAGCAGCGGGGACTGGGATCTGTCGTCAGCCTTGCCTTTGCTCTGTGCCTCAGTTTCCCCCTCTTTGAAACAGAGCCAGTCAGCTCCCTGCAGAGGGGCCATGTGGCTGGAGAGCGGGTCCTTTCTGCCCCCTCCTTGTGCAGAGCGGGTGCCCTGCGGTGGGCCTGGCGCTGGTGGTCCCAGCTGGCTCCCAACCGTGGTCCCTCCAGTAGCCAACTGGCATCCCCGCTGCATTGCCTCTGGTGTAACACTGCCTTCTCTCCCCCAGCCCCGTGCGCCCGACCCCCACGGACGCCATGGAGCCCGTCTGCCTGGTAGAGCCGGTGCCCAGCTCTGGTGCCCTGCGGGTGAACCCGGCCGCCCTGGGCCTGCTCCGACGCCTCACCCGGCCCCTCCACGTCTTCGCCGTCTTCGGGCCCTGTGGCACCGGGAAATCCTTCCTCATGGACCGGCTGGCGGGGCAGGGCGAAGGTGAAGGGTCCCCATTGCTCCCCCTTCCTTCTGCCTGTGCCTCCACCATCCCCCTGTGTCCCCTGCCTGGGCTTCCCCCAAGTCCCCTCCTGGGCCTCCCCAACCCCTCGCCTGGGCCTCCAGAACCCCTGCCTCCCCTGATCCTCTGCCGGCACCTCCCCGACCCCCCTCTCCCCACAGCCCCCACTCAGTGCCCCTCTCTGTCCCCACAGGTTTCCCCCGCTCCCCGGGGATCTGGGTGTGGTGCCTGCCCCACCCGACTCAGCCTGACCAGGCCCTGGTGCTGCTGGACACAGAGGGATTCACCGAGCAAGAGGTAGTAGGGTCTAGTGGTTAGAGTATGTGTGTGTGGGGGCGGGGGGAGGGAGTGGGGTCTGGTGGGTTAGAGCAGAGGGGGCTGGCAGCCAGGACTCCTGGGTTCTTTCCTGGCTCTGGGAGGGCAGTGGGGTGCAGTGGTTAGAGGGGGAGCT